ACATTATCGGCCTTTCTCATGGTTAGGTTGCGTGTGAGGAATAAATTTCCGTCGCATGTCTAAACAAAGTGATGCTATGTCCTATGTGGATAAGAAAAGTTGCTTTGATATCACCGTTTGAAGTCTTATGCGTGGCGCGTCTGTGGCGTTGAAGCGGTTGATTTCCAGGCTGCGGACCTGGATATACTACTGAAGACGAGAGTCAAATACTATTACCTATCTATTCCAAGTGTATTTTCTGCAGCGCTCTCACCTTGTCTAGTAGTAAAATGCTGAACGAAAGATGAATATTAGACTAGAGGATGTGAAAATGTAGCCAACAAAAAACTAGTAAAATGGATTGACCGTACAATCTTAAGCTTTACATTATTTTCTTTTGCATATCCTATATAAGTCCTGTTGAATTGTATTCTTATGTTATTGTATAATAAGAGAAGTATAACTTTGAGTATTTTTGTTGTGGTACGTAGTAATACGTAGCAGAAATATATTAGTACTTATTTTTATTGCTGTTAGAATGCGATTACGAAATTATTACTAAGTAAACTACTAAACGTTGCCCACAGTTCTCAATAGCATAGAGAGTGCTGGGCCACTTGGCTCCTGTGGTCTACTGTTATCAAGACCTAAAATTTATAAGCCGTGTTTCACGCAACTATTAGGAAGATAAAATGCTAACGATTTGAAGCGGTTAAGGATGAACGACCACGCCTTACACTCTGGGCCTGGAAAGAAAGCTGAAATAGCTCCGATCACACTGCCAACATACTGTCTGACAAACTGAGTGGGAAAATAGGAGAAATAAAAATCGAGAAGGGAGAGAAATCACTAAAATATTACGACACCTGAGGCGCGCAAGCAGTGCATTATTAAGTGTCAAGCACATCTAGCCCACTGATTGAACNATGGTTAGGTTGCGTGTGAGGAATAAATTCCCGTCGCATGTCTCAACAAAGTGGTGCTATGTCATATGTTGATAAGAAATGTTACTTTGATATAACCGTTTGAGGTCTTATGCGTGGCGCGTCTGTGGCGTTGAAGCAGTTGATTTCCAGGCTGCGGACCTGGCATGGATATACTACTGAAGACGAGAGTCAAATACTATTATTTATCTATTCCAAGTGTATTTTCTGCGGCGCTCTCACCTTGTCTAGTGGTAAAATGCTGAACGAAAGATGAATATCAGACTAGAGGATGTGAAAGTGCGGCCAACGGAAAAAAATAGTCAAATGGATTGACCGTACAATCTTACGCTCTACATTATTTTCTTTTGCGTATCCTATATACGTCCTGTTGAATTGCATTCTTATGATATTGTATAATAAGAGTAGTATGACCTTCAGTATTTTTGTTGTGGTACGTAGTAATACGTAGCAGAAATATATTAGTACTTATTTTTATTGCTGTTAGAATGCAATTACGAAGTTATTACTAAGTAAACTACCAAACGTTGCCCACAGTTCTCAATAGCATAGAGTGCTGGGCCACTTGGCTCCTGTGGTCTACTGTTATCAAGACCTAAACTTTATAAGCCGTGTTT